AGTCGAGCCCGTTCTCCGAGGACACCATAGGCATCATGTTCTATCAGCAGGCGTGTAGGCTCGTACCAGATGTCATCACGATATCCAGCCTGGAGAGTGTGCAAGCTTGCCTACTCATCGGCCTCTACACCCTTCCTCTTGATGCATCCGGACTGTCATACGTGTACCTCAACCTTGCCGTGAAGCTTGCCATACAAAACGGCATGCACCGCAAGTATCCAGGAGACCTCATTGACCCCGTCATCCGCGAGACAAGGAACCGCGTATGGTGGACAGCCTACACAACAGAGAAGTAAGCTAGGTGGTCATAAAACCTTCGGTGGCGGTAGTACTGACAAATCCTAGGCGCATCGGCATATTCCACGGCCGACCACTCTCCATCGCCGCCGCAGATGTTGACGCCGAGATGCCGGTGGACCGCCCAAACATCTGGGCCGGCTCACCACCACCAAACACCGCACACATGCTAGCCACCCTCCAGCTAAACCAAGCATTAAGCCGGATCAACCATCAGATGTCAGTACTCCAACCTGCTTCTCCTCTTCACAGCTAACAAGCCTCCAGCTCCCTCTTCAAGACCTTCGAAAAGCACGAAATCCCAGACGGCATAACCAAACTAGTCGAAATGAAGGCGCAGCTGCACACCTGGTGGAACAACCTCCCAGAAACCACCTTCTGCAAAGACCCGAGCCCCGGATCCGCCGTCTTCCGCCCCGACATGCATCTCCGCCTCGAATACTGCCTCGTCCGCATGTTCGCCGGCCGCCCCTTCATCTTCCCCCGCGAATCCACCCGCAGCACCGCCTCCTCCTCCGGCTCGCCCGCCGACTCTGCCGTACCCCCGCGCACTGGCTCCGCCGCCGCAGCCGCCGCCAAAGCCCACCCGCGCTCCGTCCTCGTCGCAGACTGCGTCGACGCCGCCCTCTGCGTCGTCGAGACCTGCCGCCTCCTCCGCAACAGCATCGGCCTCGCCCGCGCCTCCTACACTGAGTTCTCCTCCTGCCGCGCAGCCCTCCTCGTCATCATTACGCAGTGCCTCCAGAAGAAGACCGACCGCCTGCGCGAGGCCCTCCGCGACGGCCTCGCCATGCTCAAGGAGATGTCCACCGGCGGCGAGTCCGCAAAGTCAGAGATGTCCCTCATCGAGGCCTTCGAGCGCGCCATCTCCCGCCTCGACGCCAACGACGACGCCGCGTCAAGCTCCGCCAAGGAGTCCGACTACGCGCGCTTCAAGAAGTGGGAGATGCTCTGGAAGACGGACACGCCCGCGCACGACGCGCGCAGCGAGCGGAGCCACGACGCAGGGCTGCCGATCCCGCCGCACCCCGCGGCATTCTGGCGGACCGGCGGCGGCCACGGACATGGTGGTGGTAGCGGCGGCGGCGGCGGTCATGTGGCGCCTGGGACCGGGAGGCAGGGGACGGCGTCGCTGCCGCCGGCGATGCCGTTCTTCGGGCTCGACGGGAGCCTGTCGCCGATGCCGCCGGCGCTGGATGAGTTTTCAGCCATGTTTGGGAATGGGTACGTGCCGGGGTTTGAAGGCATGGGCGGGAGCGTGAACGGGAACTGGATGGGTTTGTAAAGCGAGAAGAAATACGTTGAACGAGGGAAGGCGTTTCTGGCAAATTTTCCTGGCTTTTGAGGAGGGACTTTCTTGGATGAAAAAAAAAATGACCACGCGCCGCGAACAGCCGGCTATGGGAAGAAGCGATATTTTTGTATGCACGTCTAATTCACGGGCTGTTTTTTGTTTGTCCATACCATTAGATCATACATGATCTGATTCATATACCAAGCTTGAGGCCGATCCAATGAATACCCGCCAAAGACGCTCTAGAGGCGAAGACATATCAGCGCAGGTCAAGCACAGGCAGCCGGTGAAGTCATGGCGGCTAGCTGCAATCTCGGGTCGGCAGCGAAGCACGAATTGGATTAATCCGGGCTGAGGCGGTGCGAGAACGAGCTGACAACATGGCGTGACAGGGTTTTCAGGAGTGGTATGATTATATGCAGCAAACTGCTCGTTTACGAAGGTGACAAAGGATGGCCGCCCGCGTTTCACCGGCCGGGCACGAGTGCCAAATACCACAGGACATCAAAAAGCAGTGCATGGAATTTCAAAAAGGGATCGTTCTCCGAACCCAGAATCGAACTAGGGACCTTTCGATGATCTTGGTAGAACCATTACAGTCGAACGTGATGAACCAACTACACCATTCGGAGAGAACGTGACTAAGCCACGTGAATGATTGGCTGGCTGCTGGGCCCGGCGGAGGACAAGTCGATTATATCGCGCAAGGGCCGCGGGGTTTTGGCGGAGTTTTGGTCTTTTGGTTAGTCGTTGAGCGGTCATTCTTCATGAGACCCAAGAAGCGATGAATGATTAATCTCGTGCCTAGTTGCATGTGCATCGAGACTTCGGAGCCCGAGCGCTCTGGCCCGGGGCCGCAGGACACGGCCATTGATAGGAAAGGTTTGGCAATACATTTCGCGAAGATACTGCGGCAATCGAATTCATTCCTATTCATTCCAATTATCTACTCGCTTTTGCCGGTGCTAGAGAAATTCATTAAGAATACTTAGCATCACTTGTTGCGTTGAAATAGCGTTTATGACGGGCGATAGTCTTATAGTGAACGGAAGGCAAGCCCGTCTTTCAAATATTCGTTTTTTTTTCAATTTATGTAGATAGACCTTGAAGTCTCTTACTTGAATCACATATTTCAGTAATTTCCCAGTCGGTGAATACGCATTGATCGCTATCAATGCTTCCAGATGACTAGGTCGACTTGTCTCCCGCAGCTGCATTTTTCCGGGGACCCATCTGGGAGTACGACTCGAACTGAAGCTTATCGCCCGCTTCCTGAATACCCTTCACAGTTTGCAAAATGGACTCTTCCAAGGAGGTCCAGCCCGGGCGTCCCAGCTCTCGCAAGTACTGCTCGGCTTTGTCGCGTGCCTCGACGGGATGCTGGCTCGGCTCGTTAGAGAAGTTCTCCGGGAACTTCTTCCCAGGCTCGTTCTTGCGGAAGATCTCCAGGATCAAGTCCCAGCTAAAAGTGTGGGCGAGACCGAAGATGCGCTGATCTTTCACATGCTCGAGAATGGCTCCAGCAACATGCAATCTGCCCGTGTCGTCGTTGTCGATGAAGTATTCTATGAAAAACTAATTAGTCACGCCCTGCTCGCTCAGGTAGCATAAAACTTGCGCTTGGATATGACGCGGTGAACACCCGCAATCTTCCCGTTGTAGAGTAAGACCGGAAGCCCAGAGCTGCTGGGAAATCCTTGGTTGACCGGGTCGATGGAGCCGCCGAAATTGAAGTTGGGGAGTACTGTTTGATTTTTTAGTCCAAGTCAGTCTTTATTTCGGAGACGGGTTTTACCAGTGTTGACAACGAGGTCAGGGCGCTCGCTGCGGTGCTCCTTGTGGTACTTCCACACTTCCTGCTCTGCCTGCGTCTTGCTCGCCGCATAGACGGCGCCAGATCTTTCCGGGCTGTAAGGAGGATCGGCCCACGCGATGTTGACTGCGTTCTCGTTCCAGTTATCTTCGGTAATCACCGAGTCTGGTGAGTCGTCTTTCGGACCAGCGGCAGCTGACGATGAAGTGAACACAAAGCGCTTCACGCTCGGCTGCGCGTAAGCCGACTTCAATGCACTCAGGGCGCCCTTGATGGCGACGGGGATGACATTGTTGGGATTTGGGTCTAGCGTCATGATGGAAGCTGTGTGCACAACTACGGCGACGCCTGGGATTGAATGTCAGCCCCGTAACTTGTCTGCTGACGTCTTTAGGGTTACTCTCGGCACACCTTTCGTGGCTTCATCGAAAGCGCCTTCCGCTGCCATATCCGAGACTTGGACAAGCTCGAAATTGCCTTGACCAAATTGCTTTTCAAATGCCGCCGGAAGCCATGCAACCTTGTCCGGGTTACGAACTGTGCCGCGAACCTTGTATCCATATTCGAGGAACTGTTTCGCAACGTGGGAGCCCAAGAGGCCGTTGACTCCAGTCACAAGAACTGTTGAGCCTTTGGAAACTGCAAGGTTTGCCATAATTGGTGGGAGTGCAACAGTGGATTCGAGGTGCAATTCTCAAGATGTAAGTAAGTTTTGGAGGGTGCATGTATGTGAGTATCGTGGTTTTAACAGGTGGCTCCAAGGGATTGTGCCATCTCACAATGCTTGACTCCATCCGATTACAAATCCTGGGGTCATACCTGCAGTTACTGCAACTTCCGCTGCGGACATCCCACTTGGCGGGCGGACTTCTACATCTAGGACGGATCCACCATAAAGGATCCAACATGACGGGTAAACTTGCAGGGGATGAGTTAGCGCCAATGTTGAAGAATGGCGTCAACATGCACTTCCAATCATATTTCTGCACACATCAAAGTCAACCACTTTTCCAAGAAACCTCGCTGCCATCCAAGGGAAGTTACTTGGAACGGTGAGTTATCGGATGGCCCGTCAATGGCAAGTTGATCCAGGTGCATTATCAGGCTTGCGACAGAAGGGCATATTGATTTCTTAAAGTTCACATTGTAAATTGATGCAGAGTACATATAACAAATTTCAATTTACCAGTCTGATAGAAATCTCCCTAGGGAAATTTGTTGGCTGTAAGATTTCCAACTAGAGACCCTACCAAACAACCATCGCAAGAAATGAGGCCAGTCATGAAACCAAAGGCGTCTTTACCCATCTTGCTTTTAACATAGTAGCCATGCTATATCAATGAGCCACTCCGTCTCGTATTGAAATCATTCAGGTTGTTTCCCTCAAAATATTGTCCAAGTTGTCGCGGGTTGAACCAGGGGGTTCAGGCTGACATTAGATCACCCGGAGGCCTGAGTGTGCTTGTCGAGAACATCGCCAGCTACGTGACGACAATTGAGCGTCACACTTCAGAAGAAAAGGCAAGTTGGCGTTTAACTAACCAGTATTTGATGCATTCAGCATATATCCATTTCATCTTTACAGGTATTCTCAGGCTAGGTCTGTGATTGTTGGGAAGAGTTGTCTTGGCCAAGAAGCGATCTACTCTCTTCATCGTCGTGACTTTCAAGGTATTCCTCCGGCAGGTCTGCGTGGCCCGCCCGGGAAAGCGCCAAGGACGCGAGACCACACATGGCGAAAGACATGACATAAGGCATACCTTTCCAGATTCCATCAAGTCTCATGCTCCAGCTGAAGGTCCTAGCAACAATGGGGCCAGCGAGTAAGGAGCCCAAGGTGTCCATCATGGAGAGTGTCGTGAACAAGGTCCCGACCATGTCTTTCTCAACCAATGAACTGAGAAGCGATCTAGCAAATGAACTAAAACCGTTTCCAAGGGTATAGAACGCCAAGCCTAGAAATGCGCTTCAGTAAACTCCCTCTAGTCTCCAGTGTCGTGTAGAGTGCTTACCGACGACAACCACAGGTATGCTTGGCGCAAGAACCAGGACTGCAAAGCATATCATGATAAACACAATACTGAGCCTGGAAAGAAGGAAGTCTTTGACTCGAGCGGAGAAGCCTAGTTTCTTGGAAATGAAAAGATCCAGCACAGGCAGAATGGCGACGAAGGTTACAAGCTGCGCGAAAGCCCGGAATGAGAGTAGAAGGTTGGCCTGGAAATTGTCAGTAGAAACATCACGGTAATCTCGCGAGATAGATACCTTCGCTATTGGAATAGCGTATCTCGTTGATAGGTATTGCAGAAGGACACCGAGAGATTGTCGAGAGAAGTAGGCGACTAGAAATGTCAAAACAAGAAACAGGACACTACGATGCCGAAGGATAAATCCTAGAGTCTTGTGAACATGTCTGAGCAGGTTTTTCAGTGTTCTTCGAAGACTCAAGTCTTCTGAAAGGCCCTCCCTGTCTGACTCGATCGAGTTATCTTCGCCTCGAGGCAGTGTTTCCGGGATGGTACCTGCGAGAACGGCTGTGATTATCGTACAAGCTGCAAGATTAGCTGAGGTCTAGACAGTGGTGCTGCAGTCTTATCCAATCCCAATAGCAAAGGGTGCCAAAGACTATAGGTCATCAAGGCGGAACCAATCGCTGGCCCGATCAGCTCCGCGCCAATCAGAGCAGCCTGGGCATAGAAAAAGACATTCGACCTATTTTGTTTAAGTATTAGTATTCTTGAAAAGCTTACTCGTTGTCGCCTTTACTTACCTGTACTTTTTAGGCGACGCATTTGTAATAATCATCATGGCGACAGCGCCAGTAGCTATACTTCCACCTCCAATGAGAAGAAAGCATGAAGACAGCCACACAAGTTTAAGGGGCCATTCCAGCCAGCCTGTGATAATTGTAAGCAACATGATGGCAAGCAACTCAAAGTTCATCTGCGTTTTCACTCACAAATGAAGAGCACCCAGCAAGCACCCAGCACCTGTCCTACAACGCTGAGGAGGAAGACTCGTCTCCGGCCTTGCTTATCTGCAAGCACTCCGAACCACATAGCTAATATCAAGCCAGGAATCCCATCAAAGAACTTCTGCCAACCAAACAGCTCCGCCACGACGTCTTGAACTGCAGGGTCCTTGCACATCTCCTCAGAGGGTCCGCTGCCGGGGACGTTGTCGCCAACTTTGTAGTACTGTCGACAGACGATTTCCTCGAACAAACGCGTCTGCGGAGCAAGAGACATGCAGTTTCCAATGCCGTCAATGAAGAGCATCATTGCCACAACGACGATAGGTCTCCAATAGATGCTATCCCCATGACCAGCAGTGGACTCTGTTGAAGGTTCGGGCTTGCGCTTTCTACCTGTACAGCCCATTTTCTGATGTGAGTTTGCTTGGCTGAGGAATCTTGAGAGTAAGGGTGGTGGTGTCTAGCGGTTGCCGATGAGTACTTTGACGTGCAGGTGGGATGGGGATGGAGCACTCTTACCAGCCAGTTGCGGAGGTGTGCCGGAATAAAAGCTTAGAATAGCGGTCGCCTTGGCGACATGGATACGAGCTTTACTAATGACTGATTAAGAAACAGGTCTCATTGTGTTGGCAATTCACTTGCGGCGAGCCGGAGCGACGCGGAACCAACGGATTCATGGGGTCGTAGATGCATCGTTGGCCCTCGCTTGCGCCAGCGTCTCGCCGCAGTCATCAATCTTGCCTCCTATCTTTTCAACGGCCGAACGAGCGTTCGGCATGGCCATTCTCGTCACTTTCCATCCCAGAACAAACCCCGTCAAGGCAACGATCATGAGAGTGGCAGTCGCTACGGCTATCACGCATAGAGGGCGGGGCATCGTCTAGCCCGAGCCAACAGCTGCCTGGGGACAGCATAGCTGATTTTCCTTCGCCGATCGTGACTTTGCCTGGAAATTTTCCTCGTTTACTGATGTATTGTTGTATCTGCAGTCCTTTTTATCGCCTAATAATGCCGTGTATAATCAACTGGACTTGATTGAGAAATCCCAGTCGAGCAATCAAAGACAACTCAGGTGACAAACGGCTGAGGCCTTTCGTTCGAAGTTCAGTTGTTCTCACGATGGTTAATTGAGTGAAACGCCATATCTTCTTGAATGTATGTTCGTTGTCCCTGCTCCAGAGCGGAAGTATTTCTGAACTTATTACCATGTGACACCTGGGGTACTTGCCTGGAGAGAAGATCACCTCTATGCATCTCATGTCCGCAAGAATGCAGAACGCAACTATCATTGCAGCCATGCATCAGCTTGAGGAGGCCGTCATATCTGAAAAGGCCGCCGTTCTTGATGAAGGCATTTTAGCGGACGCTGTCGATATTGCAAATGTAAAAGCTAGATGTGAACTCTTTAAGGGAAAGTAGCTGTAGCCAGAACAGAAGGCCCGGGGTCGCTTCATGTGCGCTGGAACACGGTAGCTTGCTCGCGGTGAGATGCTATGTGATGGGTGTCAATTATCTCACATTTTATTACCGAGGTATTTCTCAGTAGGGGAAAATAGCACAACGTCATGTTATATCACTGAGAGTTGCGGAGCTCAATAACAGGGCTTCCTTCAAGAAAGCCATGTGCTTAGGCAGGGGAGAGGAACCCGTGCTTACCTTGAGATTGTTCGTAATGTTTTCAAGGGAAACTGTTCCCAGAAGTGAAGGAAGAGCAGAAAACTCACACAAGAACAACTCTACACATGACCAGCCGCTGGCTCAGGACACTACAAAGTGAGACGCGCTTTAATGGTGGCTCAGTGGGTGAGCTACGGCACTTTCCATGCCACTTCCGCAAGCAACTAAACTATCAAGCTGTACGAAGGAAGGTCTCATCAGGCTGCGTATGGCAGCTACTGTTACGCAATCAAACAAATGGGCACCCCTAAGATGTTCTGCTTCCCCGCTTAGCAAGAATCATACTTTGTGACTTTGAGTCCCATTTCCATGTTTGGAGCTTTCTGAAAGACAAACAAGAGGTCCAGCCATCTTCCGAGGCGTGCGAAGACAGGTTTGCACTGTTTAGGGTGTTGGTTGAGCATGGTGTCGATGTCAATGCGTCTAACAAATGGGGTCGCACGGCTCTGAACATCGTCTCTCAAGGAAATGAACACCAGGGTTTCATTAAATATCTAATTGATTAAGAGGCTGTTTACTATCTATTGGGATATGAATGCAACGCAGTTAGAGAAAGACGAAGCTAGCCGAAGTATTGATAATGAGCAACAAGAATAATCAGTATGAAGGGTACACTGAAAGAAAGCACTAGGAAGAACCCAACAACTGGAACATCGAGTATTGTATTTTTCCAATTATTTTGGGCGAAGCAGGCACAGACACCTTTTGCCCGCGCCCGGCGTCGAACAACATATTTTCAACGAAGAACACAAAAATCATGTTACAAGTCTTATTACTCATATATTTGTTGATCCGTAGAAGAAGCTTAATGATAATCCTTAAACATTGTAGGTCTTTCCCCCTGCTGTCGTGTTAGTGGTAGTGTTTGCTCATCTCTACGTGATGTATCCTATGGAACATCAGCTTACACATGAATGGAAATGAACACCACCAAGTGCCTCACCTCACGATTCCTTATCGTTGTCGTGGAAATAACCTATGGAATGCATCACCCCACCAACTCCATCCCTAGACACACCCCATTCACCCCCTCCACCATTCCAGACACTCGATCACCCCAGACTCCACAATCTTCAGTTCTTCCATTCCAGTCTTCGGGGCCGAGAGAAACACACCCACCGCAAGAGGTTAGTGCGGGTCTTCTCTTAAGTGTCGTCATAGGTAAGCGACCTGAGTGAACCCTTCTGAATATGCCGGGGTTGAACTTGGTTTGCGCGCGTATGTACAACTGCCGAGATAGATTTTCGAGAATACTTCAGTTCTAAACACGGCTCTAATCCCCAGCTGAGGACTGCTTTAGGCAAGTATTACAGCACTCAGGTAGCACTTGGTTTGGACAGCTAACGCTCACGCAAGCGCAGCTCATGGTATGGGATCAAGACACGCAGTGAGAAGTCGATGCAAGAGTCGACGCAGAAGTATGGCTTGCGCATTAGGGATGTATATTCAGTGATGGAACGGAAGGTAATCTAAGTATGTGCTCTTCTCCGTAACTCCGTCAGTCCCGTCGTATGAGCAGGTAAACAGAAATGCATTGCCATGGTCCAAGTCCCTCGTTGAACAGGCCGTCAACCCATTCAGATGACGCGCGGCCACCCTTTTCAACTCAAATTAGGCAACAATGCCATAACAATGTTCGCGCTCGTTGGGTATCACAACCCCTGAATCCACAACTCCTCCTCTTTAGACCTGGAAGGCAACGCCGCTGCGCTTGCGACCCACGGTCTTGAATGAAGAAAACTGCCCGTCGGCACCCATGATATCAAAGCGGCTCACACTCATGATGTCGTCGGTGTAACCAGACAAGTAGTAGCCTACGATGACTACAAGGTAGCTCAACAATAGAATGCTACCCTTGAAGTAGTTGCTCTTTCCTTCTCCGTACATGTAGCTGAGCAGGAAGACACAGAGGATAACAGTAACCATGTCCCACTGGGGGAACAGAAGTGAGAAAGTGTGGTTGCCGATGTCTTGAACACCATTGCTGGTAGCGTAGAGAGCCGAGTACAGCACGAGGGCCGGTACCTGCAACAAGCAGACTTGGAGAGCGTATGCAGAACCAATTTCCATGGACAGCGCAATGTTGCCGTTCATAGCGAAGGAGATGGCGTTCTGTAAAATGTCAGTGTAACTCATCAGGAAGCATGCATTTTTAAACTCACCAAGAATTCCGTAGTGTTGGGAACCAGGGCAAAAAGGGTAATGCCGAGGAATTTCTCGTCAATAGCGAAGCCCTCCAAAACAACATCTACGGTGTCGACAAGAATCTCTGCAATAATGGCATAAAGCACTGTGGCTCCCATGAGAATGAAAGCACTCTTGCCTCGGCTCCAGTTGGGTGCATCATGCCCACCGTGAGGAACTTGGGCGGCACTGGCAGCAGCGAGATCTTCGTTCTCTGCGAGTGTTGCAGTGCGCAAAGCCGGAGGCCGAGTAGTCGGTGCAGTAGAGGCTCCAGGCTGGTTAGAAGTTCTGCGAGGCATGCGCTCGCGGGCAGCAAGGGTAGCGGCGGTGGCGGCCATCTCAGCGACTTCACGGACCAGGGCATTGTTCTCGGCCTCTGAAAATCCTGGAATATGGACGACTGAGCGAATGGTATCGCTACCACTCGACTTGGGTGGGACCACATGTGGAATGCTAACACTGCCATTTCCAGGTGCGAGGCCCAATCCAGAGACAGAGCCTTGACGCGAGATATCCTCGCCCTTGGCGTTCAAGCCAACCTGCTTCAATGACTGACCAAGTATGCGCTTGTACAGGTGAGAATCGCGAACATCAATGGACGTGCCAGTGGTCTCGGCAAAGGAGTGAGGTCCGGATTGTCTAGCAGCTGCATGAGCATGTGCGTGAGCTTCCTCATGCTTCTTCTCATCAATCTCAGAATTCCAGATGACAGCTGCGTGAGTCCTCAGAGTGAACCAGAGGCCCACAATGTAAGAGAGGAAAAGAAGGGTTGCGCAGAAGTAGCAGAACGGCCTGACAGCCTCGAGGTAAAAGCGGTCATCAAGAGTTGGGGTCTGAGAGAAGAAGCACCTGCGGCAGTCACGACCGTCCCCAACCGGGGAAAGTCCCTCTCCGATCCCGCTGTGGTTTACGCAGTCCAGGCAGTTGAGCTCGTGGGTGCCGTAGATTTGGTAGAACAAGGTAGGGCCAAAGGCGCCGATGACGGCAAATAGAAGCATGGTGGATGTGACACCAGCGGATCTCGCATTGAAGCGCTGAGTCTTGCGCTTGATGGCACCGAAGCACATGGAGAGGCCAGGAAGGAAGAGAATACCGGCGAAGATACTTCCAACAATACTGCCTTCGACAAGCTGGCCCTTGCCTTGGCTGAGAGCCACGCAGTAAAGAAAAACTTCGACAATCGTGGAGAAGAAGGCGTTGATGGCCGCACCTACTCCCATGGATGACTGGGCAGAAATCGAGGCAACGGCCTGGCCGATGAAGTAGGCGAGGGGGATGATCGAGAACAGGCCCGCGATGAAGAGGAACGCCGGTGAGGTGATTAGGATGTGCAGGCCCATGATCCGGTCGAGAACAAGCCAGTCGAAGATGACGAAGAACACCACACCCATGAGATTGATGAGGAAAACGTTCGTTCCGTCGATAGTGTATTTCCAGTATTTGGTGCCCACAGCGCGGTAGGTGCAGAGCAGGATGGACGAGTGAGGCGCATCGGCGATTCGGGCGAGAACCATATCGGATTCAAATGAGAGCGCCAAAGGATGTCGCCGAAGGTGGTCGAAGAGCAGCATAGTAACCTTGCCCATGGGGATGGTAAACACCAAGAACCAGCAGATCAAGGAAACCAGGATGAGAGAGGGCGAGAGCAGCAGATAGAAGAACAGAAAGAAGACGATCCTTCCGATATTCCACTCGCCTCGTCCAAACAAGCGGCGCTTGAGTCTCGGGGGCGTCTCACTCCGCTCGCCGCGTCGAGTCCGGCCCAACAGGCTGTCAGTCTCACTCGGCTGCGAGTCAATGCTTCGCCGTGAGCGGCCGACGATGGATCGGTTGTGCTCCGATCCGTCCGGACCGAAGAACAGTCGACCATACTCCAAGTCACCGCTTTGCCATTGCTCGTACTCGGATATGCTTCGTCCCTCGCCTTGGTCCTCGTCCAGGTAGGCGTCGTCCTGCTCCAAACGCACGTACTTGCCAAAGGGGTAGAAAAGATAGCTAGCAAGTCCCCAAAGGACTCTGCCGTACTCCCTGCCACTAACAGTCGCCGCGAACAAGAAGCAGATGATCGCACCGAGGGCTGCGAATGTTGCCATCCACCATCCAAACAGCAAAGTCCACAAAAGGTTAAAAAACAACAACCAGTTGTTGACCCTTCCGCCCGGCGACGAATGAATATCACCTTCCGCATTCTTCTGCACGGAGCGGTCTTTCTTGTACAGAGCAGGCTTCCATAACCTGATACCGAAAGGATGGGTTTCGTTGATGGCTTGTTGACGATCCTTGAGCGTGAAGCTCTCGGCATCGCTGACGTCGCCGTCATCTTCGGCTTCCGCATCCTCATCTTCGTGAACTGATGGGTCGTGCTCGGAGCGGTCAGGGACAATGTCCTCGGGTCTCGGTGTACGAGGTGCCTCGTCATCGTTGTCCTCATCATCGCCGTGCTCGCTTCTAGAGGACTGGACGCGGGACAGGGTGGTCGCTAGCTGAGGCCGGCGGCGCGTGCTGTACCCCCGTTGTTGTTCTTGTTGGCGTCCGACGGCGTCGGCCTCGACTTCGAAGATGTCATCGTCGACGGAGAAAACCTCACCACGATGAGGTGCAGAAGGGTTCGTCGAGGGTCGACGGGTCATGGGGGGCTTTCGCGGTCGATTACTCGCTTTGGGGCGTTCAGGAGCCATCATGGGAGATCTTGTAGCTTGGGTGGAACGAGAATGGGAACGGTCGTGAGCTGAGGAGTCGGGGAAGTATTGGGAGGCGGAAGGTTGGCCTTGTATGGAACCTGTGTCGCACACGGGATTGATGTTAGCCAGGGATTTTCTCTTGGACCAGTCGGCAACTCGGACGACCAAGACGCATTAGGTTTCTGGGCATGCAGCGGGTCGTACGTACCGTAGCCAGCTTCTGGGCGTCTCCGCACCGTATCGGTGGACTGAAAGGACTGAAAGCTCTCGGACAGGCCGTCGTCGCGAGAACCCGAATAGGACTCGAATCTCGAGGGCTGGTGTCGGGTGTCTGTTGGCGAGGCAGCAGTCGAGTTATCGCGAGACTGGTCAGCGGACGTATCAGGCCCCGGGGAGGGATCCATGGTGGGCGACAATGGAGCGCGCGACGGTTTTGGAGAATGATGGAGAATAGTCGGTGGAGAGAATGGTAGGTGCCGGAGATGTGGGTTATTAGTGCGGACGGCAACGGGGGTGGAAGCGTCGGGCGCGCGTTGGGTGGCTTCGGGCCTGCTTGGAATCTCTTAGGTGTCGCGCGTGTGTTGTGTTGAAACAGCAGCAGCAGACTCGAAAAGAAGAGTGGAAACAGGCTTTTTTTCAAAAGCTCGTACCGCCGTTACCGAGAGCGTTGTAGGTGTAGGTTTAGTGCTTGTGTTGGGTCTCGGTAAGATTTCGAGGATTCCACGGGGGCCCTGCAGATGGGTCGAAGTGGTGGTGGTGAGCTTTCGCTATCTACCTTGCTTCACGGGTAAAAAGCTGACGAAGAGAAGAAATGAGCGAAGCCAGACGGGATCGGTAAGCAAGACGAGATGAGGTGAGGTGCGTAGGTATCCGGGGGTGTGGTGTGTGGTGTAGAGTTGGGTAAACAACAAACACACGATGGACGAGACACAAAAAAAGACAAAAGAAGAGAGTAAGACAAGAAAATGCGAGGATGAGGATGAGGAGGAGAGGTGATGCGATGGCGAGACGGGGCGAGACCGTGTGCAATTCAGCAACGAAGACAATGGCAGCAATGAGTGTTGCCCATTCCTGGCTACTGGTGAGGACGACTCTCCTTTCCTGATCTGGTGGCGAGGATGTCCACAGGATGTGTGCGATGCTGCCCATACAAAAGTGCAGGTTCTCTACTAAAGTATTATTTATTGGATGGAAGGGTGAGGAAACTTCCCTTGGCTGGCGGCGGAGCGGGTGCCGCTGCTCGTCCGATGTTGTTGAGTTTTCTGCGTGTGCCTCCGTCTCCTCAAGTATTCGAGGCTGCCTTGTCCATCGGTCGAGTGATGATTGCTGCTCCCCCAGATTCGCAATCCCGCCTTCCCGGCGCAATCACGGTGCACCTGGCTCACCTCAGAATGTCTGAGTCAGGAGCTGCCCACTCCCACTGTCGATGGCGTTTGTGTGTGCAACCCCCGGGTCATGTGCAGCCACTTCGCAAGGTGTTGCAGGCCTCAGAGGGTGCGAAACAACATGGAAGGTGCTGTTTCTTAGAAGCATGATGAGAGGCAATTGCTACTGTGTGACTCTTCCATTTGATCAGGATTTCTATTCCCGGGCTCTTGATTCGACCCGTGCCTCCATCGTTGGTCTTTATCTTCTTATCCCCGGTATCTGATGTGCCCCCCTCGACATTCAAGCAGCCGTACGCAGTACGAAGACGTAGGGAGGAAGAAAGGCCTGCACAATGTCTCGCACCCAGGTGCTTGGTATTTACATCCAGCGATTGTTACCTTCGGCGCACTGATGATAGGTAGGAACGCAATTTAGTGGAGGACTAGTGGGGGCCCGCGGTGCGCCCATGGTGGAGTGCAACTGCTGCTAGCAACATGGATGATGGTGCTATCGCCTAGACAGGACCGCCAGAGCTTCCTCCCCAATCAGCTTAGTGCCCGAGCAGAACGGCGGGAGAGCCACAATCCCAAGGCCCGAGGACTGCCTAACTTACCCATAGTAAGGTAGGACCTAAGGTAAGGTGGACGGGCAAGCAGGGTGCAACATCAAGAGAGCCGCGTCTGGCGATGCCTTTTGCCTGTTGGGCGGTCTACAGCCCGTCGCCAAGGACGTAGATCTTATCGGCGCATATCTACGGCGTATCTCTGCAGGCTTCACTGGCATGTCCCACTGCCCATGATTCGATGCAGAGCCCCACCGTTGCATGTCACGATGTCGAGGTGCTCGACATCGCACATCTCGTGCTGCACTCCACTTTCCCAACTGGGGCGTGCTAACGTCACTGCGCGTTGCGCTTTCCGCCTCTTTTCTCTTGCAGCCGCTACAAGACAGCGCGCACGGACCCGACCCTTTTCCAGAGTGGACCTTCCAAAGATGTCGGCATCTGGAACATCCTGCCCTCCGAAGACCCTGACTAAGCCCCCGCAAGCTTGACATTTCCGGAAGGAAGCTTTCACGTGACCCGGACCTGGCGAACGCGTCGACGGTGGTTTGCCTGCGGCTGACTGGACCGACCGACGGAGCCAGCCAGACCTACAGCCCTGTCACTCCGAACCCATCTGTGAGCTTCCACAACGACAAGCTTCCATCATCACACCCAACCCCCGGCGACTGTCAACCGATCCTACGCACGAATTACACCTTGACGACCCCGATTGACCCTCCCGCTTCTCAGAGAACATCGAACAAACACCCGCCCGATTAATTCCTCCCTCGGGGCATCCATCAAGATGGCGCTCGATTCGTACTACCAGAACAAGATCGAGGCCATGAAGCTCGAGATCCTCAAGGGTCAAGCTGTCCTCCGCCGTCTCGAGGCCCAGAGAAACGACTACAACTCGCGGGTGCGTCTACTGAGAGAAGAGCTTGGTCTGTTGCAGCAGCCCGGTTCCTACGTCGGTGAGGTTGTGAAGGTCATGAGCACGAAGAAGGTCCTGGTCAAGGTGCATCCGGAAGGCAAATACGGTACGTTTGATGATGCACACCCCACCTTCCTCCTGGCCCAATGCTGATCAACACCCACAGTCGTCGATATCTCCGACAATGTCGACATCACAAAGCTCACCGTCGGCAAGCGTGTAACCCTCCTGTCCGACAGCTACAAGCTCGAGAAGATGCTCCCCTCATCCGTCGATCCCCTCGTCTCCCTCATGATGGTCGAGAAGGTCCCCGACAGCACATACGACATGATTGGTGGTCTGGATCAGCAGATCAAGGAAATCAAGGAGGTTATCGAGCTCGGTCTCAAGCACCCCGAGCTGTTCGAGTCTCTGGGTATCGCCCAACCGAAGGGTGTCCTCCTCTACGGTCCCCCCGGCACGGGCAAGACCCTGCTCGCCAGAGCTGTCGCCCACCACACCGACTGCAAGTTTATCCGTGTCTCCGGTTCCGAGTTGGTGCAAAAGTACATCGGAGAGGGTTCCCGTATGGTTCGCGAGCTGTTCGTCATGGCCCGTGAGCACGCCCCCTCCATTATCTTCATGGACGAAATCGATTCCATTGGTTCTTCCCGTGTCGAGGGTTCCTCAGGAGGCGATTCCGAAGTCCAGCGTACCATGTTGGAGCTTCTTAACCAGCTCGATGGTTTCGAGCCTACCAAGAACATCAAGGTCATTATGGCCACCAACCGTCTTGACATTCTCGACCCCGCATTGCTGCGTCCCGGACGTATCGACCGAAAGATCGAGTTCCCCCCGCCATCCGTCGAGGCCCGTGCCGACATTCTCCGTATCCACAGCCGCAAGATGAACCTGACGAGAGGCATCAACCTTACCAAGATTGCCGAGAAGATGAACGGTTGCTCTGGTGCCGAGCTGAAGGGTGTCTGCACAGAGGCTGGCATGTACGCTCTTCGTGAGCGCAGAGTCCACGTCACCCAGGAGGACTTTGAGCTTGCTACCGCCAAGATTCTTAACAAGCACGACGACAAGGAGGTGTCCCTGGGCAAGCTCTGGAAGTAAGCGACACGAAAAGGGGGTTTGGAGCAGAAGTGGCACGGTGGCAGCAGCAGCACGACGGCTTCTTTTTGGGTTGGCGGGAGTTGGGAATGGCGGGGGTGGGAAACAGCGCCCGCGATTATGCAGTGGCCGCTTGTACGGCTAATATGTACGACTACATAGAACATGGAATCAGCCACGATTACCCTTTCCACATATTGGTCCCCGGCGTCTATTCGTGCTGTGTTCGTACTTTGCCTTGGTGATGGGGGTCTCAGGGAAGAGGGACCTACATACAGGCGATAGGTGTGCTCTTTCGGGACGTGACGTCGGTATCGATAGATTTTCGAAGTCGAGACTGTCTGGCCAGCCAATGGTCCCGTCCTGCGCTTGAAGCTGTTCTGCTGGTTGACGGCCGTGAAGCTGAATTCGCGGTGCCTGCCTGAAGCCTATACTAGTGAGGAAGGCGCGACCCTCCCACCACTCACCTGCTCCTGCTTCCTACCCCTCGGGAGAGCCCTTCTTGGCGAGCTTTCGTCCTATCACCGTCACCCAAGCCCGATAGGCCAAGTGGTCTAGAGGTATAACGCTCTGGTCCGTTAGTGAGAACTTGGTATGAAATCCGATTGCTGGTTTCGTAGGGTCTGCGGTTCGATCCTGCACCCGAGCTTTTGCTTTTGCTTTTGAACTTCGCTTTTTGATTCTACCAGTTCCCTCGCGCGTCAGCCAGCCTCGCCGTTCATTCCTTTGTATAGGCCATATTTAAAGCTCCTGCTGGAGGAGCGAAAATGTTCAAAGCAGATAATGCTCGGCGATTTCATGGTTGCACGTTCCGATCAAGGGCTATGCTGCTTCGAGCAGGATAGAAAGGACTGTGCTAGTGGCGATTTTTGTCCAGATTTCCTCGCATGTATTAGATGTTCACGTATCGTTCATCAGCGGTGTTCGTCTCTAGATTTTCACGCAGAATACTACGGATTGGGGTCTCCAGCCTGTGCCTCAGCCTCCAGGGCAAGGTACGCAGTTACCTCTTCCGGCGCTATACTCTCTTCATCTTCAGAGATCTGGTTTTAATGAACGCATACTACACCGGTTTTGATTGCCTGGGAAGTTTTTTCAATCTAATTGACTTGCCACTTTATAGGTACTACGGAAGAGGACCAGTCACAGTCAACAGCCGTCCGTACGACGGTGAAATGTTCGGCGGGCCTTGTCAGACTCTCAGATTCCCATAACTATATATAGCCTGAGCGTTGCCTGGCCCTGAATCTTTAGACCAACGGCGTGGCAGAGACAATAAATCCTATTGATGGGAGGACTTGGTTCTCCTGTGGCTGGCTGGACTCGTGTCACAGGCCTTTATGGGCCTAGAAACATGCCGGTTCATCAGCTTGACTGGCCCTTGTTAGCGTCGGAGTATTCAGTGATAACATACCAACGACTCTGGTTACGTAGAAAGCCAGCAACCGTCATTCCTTGTAGTTGAAGCGGCAACTCTTTGTGTGGCGATCTGCGCTGGATGCAGTAGGATATTAATCCAACCCATCGCTTGATCTTTCGACGGCGTCTAGTGGATGCGCTCGGCTAGGTACATTTGCAGAGACTTGGGCTACGTTTATCAACGGTTCATAATTGAAAATATCTTTGGGGTAGGAGCTATGCGCGTGTGCTTGGTGCCGCGGGTCTAGCAGCCGCTTATCTTACTCCTTCGCAAAACAGTCACTGCTGTTTGTATAAATTCCTGCGTACGTGTAAAGGACTCTTCCCCAAAAATGCAACATGGTGCTTGTTTGATCATTTCATACGAGACCCCGTAGTCGTCTCATGGTTAAAGATCTATCCTGAAGCTATGCTTGAGCCCAATTTCTTGAGCTGCTACTTCGTCAAATTCGTTCTGGGGGTATTCTTCAAAATCGAAAACCAGTGGCGGACGACACCAAAGACTTCATAAGAGCGTTCTTCCTGCGCCTTGCGTGAGAAGATGCTGCCACGTAATCGCAAAATGCCTGCCTTGTCGACGTTTCCATATTCTCATATCACCTACAGACCACATGTAGACACATTTCCTGCTTGACCAAACATTTTGCGCCTCTTCATCGCAACGTTCATGTTCAGTAATGGAGCCGGTAATAGCAGGACCCAGGCACATACTACTTTCCTACTTTTCCTGTCCTAGCCGAGCCTCCACGGCGTTCGATTTATTGAAGCTGTGTATTTAAGTTGTAGCTTTGAAATAGACCAGAAGTCCCACGCAACATGTACAGATCAGTTGTGTCTTCTCGTTTGGGGCGCAATTCAAAAAGTTCCAAGGTGCGCCTTCGTTACTGCAAGGCTTCTGAACGTTAGGTCTCGAAGTCCAGTGTCCTTACGTCGTTTCGCCCTCGTCCCTACCCGAATGTTTGTGAAATATACGGCCGAATACCTACGGTCAATGCTGACGAGGTGGGTTCACATCTTCGGTCATCTGGTCGTAAGGCTGTTGCTTGCTTTGTTCGAGAAGGCTCATGTACGGCACTATAGAAAACCCAACATCTATCGACCTTGTGGCTCATCAGCCTGCCGATGACGTCGCGGACGCCCCTCGTCTCTTCCATTACTTGACTTTACAGGCGTGAGATACTCAACGAATGTTCATTTTGCTGGCTTTACGCTGCTAGGAAGACCTCTTCGGGACTAACTGAGATGTAATGTCCACCACTGAGACAGAACGTTCACTAAAGGTTTAGCAACTTGAACCTACAATAGCAACACAGGCGATCTCGTTGTTTGCTGCGAGAAATCCCCCCTGCTGCGGTTGATAGACTTTATAGTAGACCCTCATGATTTCTTCGTACAGCAAAAGCGAAGAGCCGCTTGACCAGCGTTGGGGCGGTAAGGTCCCGTGCATGCGCATAAAGTCATGCAGGTGTTCATTCTGCCTGAGAAGTCTCTAAGCTCCTGTTAGGATATGCTGAAGCGGAAATCTGTGGTCATGAACACTTGATCCGCCTGCTTAGGACTAGGGAAAGAGCGCCCAAGTAGAAATCATGGATTCACGCTCGGTGCGCAGCTTTAGTACTCTAGCAATGGATGTAATCTTGTTCCGACTTGCGATTTCCTACCACGGGATAGGATCACTGCCCCGCCCCGGTCTTTAGGAATCTTCTTAGTATTACTTGCTGAGGCGTTAGTTCATCTCATTCGTATGCCTTTGCTCTCTCTTCCATCTTCTCTGTTCTACCCCGCAGTTACGAGAATGGAATACCCCGGAGGAGGCTATCAGTGAATAACAATTTAGAGCTGAGGTGCCTTACACAACCGACTCGAACATTTGATGTGAGCCATTTCTCCCACGAGACATTCTCACACCCAGTCACCCTGCAACCACAATCACAATTGGTTGTCTGCTATAGTTAAACTGCGAATTGCGCGACTAATATAGCAACTTTGAATACGCAAAGCCTGTGTCATGGACCACATCACATGCGAACCTCGAGATGCTCATGGAAACAACTGCACAGGAGCCCGAAGATCATACACTGTTGTGGCCATCGCATCGGTTCGGATACAGACAAGGTTTCAGCGAGATACAAGCGCGTACTCGCCGAATGTAGCTACTGTATGGCTTTTATCTTCTACCATTCTGCAGGCGTACCAGTACCGGGGGAATTACTTCATTTGCCAGCCTGGCCTCGCAGTTGCCATCGTCCACATGTATTCCATTACTGCGGCTGGTGAATAAGGGCGTGATTGAAGGAACTGAAGGACCTCAGCGATGAGCAATCTCTCGGCACCAGGGTCGTTCGAATTAGGCGCCTCCACGATGATATCCATGACCGATGGTGACCTTGGCTCTTCAATGACATCGTCTCTGGAATGCTATTGCGGTTTGGTTTACCAACCCCGTGTCGACATCAGCCCCGTCTTAATATAGGCATCGGAATTGACGTATCTCATCCCCAAGATTGCGGACTCGTTGGTTCTCAATGCATCTCACGTCCCATTTCTGGGTAAGGCTGTTCTCAGGTATAAGACGCATGGTAATAGCCTTCTTGCCCTCTCCGCACGAATGTTCGTTTCTGTATTGTTTGTGGTATCTCACTGTCGAGCCATGGCTTAGCAAACGCTATCAAGTAACTCAGTCCTTATGTCTTGGTTCTCAGAATGACCACTAAGCTCTATCAAACCATCATCTTTTGTTGATTCCGTCAAATCAGCCGACAGAGATGATGTACACCAGAGAATAGCTAGGCCCAGGAACTTGAGAGCGACCAATATCTGTTTTCTAGGTGGAAGGAAATCTTCCCCTAGGGCCGAGCCAGCAGGATACGCAATCGACGCTTCTATCAAGAGGATAACAAGGTGGATTTGGGTTGGGTTAGCCTTTGCCGGTGTTGACTATCTTCTTTATATACCCAGCTCTAACAATCCGGGTAGATCGCCGGCGGCACATGTCTCATTTTGAATCTTCAACTCGAAACGAACATCTTCCACCATCGTCGATGCTCACTTTTTGATACGAAGCAAGGTGTAGAGGCCGCAACCCCGACTTCACACATCCTCTAGGCATCTCATCTGTCCGCTCGCTAGGAATGTTGCGTGAAAGGCGATAAACGGGTGAGATTCACGAGTGTTCGGAGCAGCGAAGGAGGCCTGGCACCATCACCTCCAACCAAGGCCGCAACTCCCGGCCGTGGCAAACAAACACCCGCCGGACCTCCAAAACAACAAACCCCAGAGCGACACCGCCGAGGCATCTCGATCTCGCCGCAGACCATGCCCGAAGAAACCTTGGATCAAAACACGTTTGATATTTGACCCTGGCAGAAGACCTCTTCACGCCAGAGGCGACAACTTGGCCAGTCAGCACCAAGATCAAGATTTCCAGACCTCGTGACAATCACAGAACATTCCACATACCCATCATCACATCAAAGCCGCCACAGCCGCGACGACCAGTGACGTAATAGAAGCCCTTCACGATCTTGATTGAACACGGCCATTTCGAGGCTAAGCAAGGGTTGTGCTCCGACTCGTACCTAAAC